AGCAGTCAAGTGCCTTAGGCACTATGCTACCAGAGCTCCCGTGTCGCTTATAGCATTTTGAAATTAAAATTTTGTTCTACCGTTGGAACCATTTGTTAATGTCGAGTGCATCGTAGGATGACGAGCACACATTTTTCAAGCAGTTAATTCATAACAAACGTTATGAAGGAGACTGGTGATGCAACAGTGAAGTGCTCGGTTGCAAACAAAAAGTCGGTGACGTGCAATGGAAGGACTTGGTGGTCTGCTCCCGTAAAGAGTTCAGCTAGAAACCCCTGTGGGCAGTTCTGCTCACGTGAGGTCGCCCTGAACTCAACTCCCAACGGCACCCATGCCCAGCACCTTCCCTATGGGCTCATATTCTTGCCTATCGCGTCAGTCTCAGCAGCCGTCACACCAACATACGATGTTCATATTACATGTCAATATAGGATATTGCATATTAAGATAATACGTTGTTTTTTTTCCTGGCCAAAAAAAAAATGAGTAAGGATGGGGGCCTCAGGGAACTGAACTAATAGGTGTCCTTATTACTATTTTTTTCAGGTGTCCTTATTTCTAAGCTAGCTCAGTCTCAGTTTCTGTCTTGGTACCCAAGAGCGCCTCCACTGGGCAGCCAAGGCTGGGAGAGGTGGCGGGGAGGCTGGGACGGAGGTCCACTACTGGGGCGGGGCCCAGTGCGAGCAGGAAGGTCCACCCTCAGACCTCATCCCCGCCTCTCTCAAGGTGACAAGGATGATTTCGACACGTCCTGGACGTGGCGCGCAACTTCTAGAGGGGAGCTGACCCCAGCGACCCCCACCGCAGGCCTACCTGGACTCACTCTCACCACTGGCACCAGCAGGAGCCCAGGCCACCCCTTCCCAACCCCAAGAGCCCATGGGGACACAGGTGAGAGGTGTGGCTGGGACGAGGGGACAAGGGGTGCATGTGCTGGGGTGGAGATGGATTCCCCACTCCGCACAGGTGACCCAGTTCTTACCCAAGAACCGCCCACGCAGTCCCCACCGCGGCCAACAGCTACTCGTAGCCTAGGACGCCAGGTGGCGCCTGGAGACACGGAGGACACGGGGAGGTGGGGGCACTAGGGCCGCGTGAAGTCTGCCGGCGACTCATGACGTCACGAGGCCCTGCGCCTTCCCATTGGTCGGTCCCTCCCCCTGCGTCTCTAAGCCTGCTGGCGTGGGTAGGCGGGGCGGACGCAGGTGGGCGGGGCGGGCTGACCTCGGGTTGTCGGTCCGTCTGTTCTCCTTCTGCAGGTTCCGGCAGGAAGCCGTGGCTCGAGCGCCGACTGCACCCCACTGCGGCCAAGACGGTCCCCCCGACCCCTTCCCCGGCTCCCGCCACCTCCCCGGGACAACCGCTGACCTCCGACTCCACCCCCCAGGTGACCTCTGCGCCATCAGCTTCAGGGCGGGAGGTCACCTCCCACCCTCCTGCCACCTCACTGGCTCCTGACCCGGCCTCCTGGACGAACCCTGAGCGCGCCTCCGCAAGTCCTGACCTTGCTCTGCCCACGCCCGGCCCCACTGTGGGTTCAGACCTGACCCCGGCGCTCTCACCCACCCCACCACCCACCCTGCCCAAAGAGCTGGCCTCTGACCCGTCCGCGCCTGCCGAGGTGACCAGCCTTTCCCCTACCTCAGAGCCCACTCCAGAATCTGACACAACCCCAGACTCGGACACAACTTCAGAACCTTCTGGGTCCCGGGACCCCTCCATAAGCCCTCACCCCACCACCACCCTTCACCTCCCCACCACTCACTCCACCACAACCCTAGGCCCTACCATAACCTCTCACCCCACCACCACCCCTCCTCCCACCACCACTGCTGGGCCCCCCCCTACCACTGCTGGGCCCACCACCACCCCTTCTCCTCCCACAACCCCTTCTCCTCCCACAACCCCTTTTCCCACCACCACCCCGCCTCCCACCACCACTGCTGATCCCCCCACTTCCCCTCTTCCCCCCACCACCCCTCCTCCCACCACCACCCCTCATCTCACCACCAGTGCTGGCCCCACCACCACCCCTCCTCCCACCACCACCCCTCATCTCACCACCAGTGCTGGCCCCCCCACTTCCCCTCTTCCCACCACCACCCCTACTCCCACCACCACCCCTCATCTCACCACCACTGCTGGCCCCCCCACCACCCCTCCTCCCACCACCACTGCTGGCCCCCCCACCAGCCCTCCTACCACCACCACTGCTGGCTCCCCCACAACCCCTGTGATCACTACTAAGTTCCTTCCAACCCCCTTGGGCACAGAGCTGCCCTCTCCCACACCAGCACTGATGGTAAAGACCAGCCTGTTCCCCCAGTTGACCTCTGGGGGGGCTCTTCACCCCTCCATATCCCAGAGGCAAAGGCTAGAGCCTTCTCCATCCTCACAGTCCAACCCCCCTAAGCCTTCTGCAGCGCCAAGCATGGACCCACTGTCCACTGAGGACTTCCAACCACCCAGAAGCCAGAGCCCCAAACTAACCCCTCCACCTACACAGACCCCACTCTCAACCTCTGACCTCCCCCTCTTCCCCATGGCCCAGCCCTTGGATCAACCTCCCCCTGACCACCTCTCTTTAGGACCCACTGCTGGTCCCAGCCCTGGGCCTCTTGGCCCATGCGCGGCCTCAGCTCCACCCGTGAGAGTCATGGCTTGTGAGCCGCCTGCTCTGGTGGAGCTGGTGGCTGCGGTGAGGGACGTGGGTGCCCAGCTGCAGAGGCTGACCCAGGCCCTGGAACGGGACCAGCAAGAGCACCAGGCCCTGCGGCTGGGGCTGACCCAGCTGGTGGAGGCCACCCAGGGTCTGGGACAGCTGGGTGAGGCTGTGAAGAAACTGGCAGAGGTGGCCTGGGCCTCCAGCACGTTCTCACCAATCACCACCACCCAGGAGGAGAGGCCCCTGAGGGGAGATGTGTGACTCAGACATGGAGGGCTTGTCCCCAACAGGTCATTCTTGCCACTTAACCCCCCCCCCAAAAAAAAAAAACCTAAATAAAAAGATGTGAATGGTGGTTTCTGGGGGACTAGGAGAACCCTGGAGAGAGAATCACAAGATGGATTTAGGAATACCACAGGTGTCATGCCTGGTGACGAGGGCCATGGTGAATATGATGGTGTGGATGGTGGTGATGATGATGGTGAGGATGAGGGTGAAGATGATGATCGTGGTGAATATGATGGTGAGGGTGGGGGTGAGGATGAGGGTCATGATGAATAGGATGGTGAGGAGGAGGATGGTGATAACGGTGAGGATGGGGGTGATGATGGTGGGTATGATGGTGAGGAGGAGGATGGTGATGTTGAGGATGGTGAGGATGAGGGTGATGGCAGTGATGATGGTGGTTATGATAGGATGGTGGTGGTGGTGACTATGACAGTGAGGAGGATGGTGGTGGTTATGATGGTGAGGAGCAGGATGGTGATGTTGAGGATGGTGAGGGTGAT